TTTCCATTTTAGGGATAATATTAGATTGTATATTATATGTTATTATATTATCTATTATTATGCGTTATTCTTATTTTTAACTAATATATATTTTAAAAAAATCGAAACCACGACAGTGATCGACCACACGCTGCTGAAGCAGGAGGCGAGGGAGGCCGAGGTGGCGAAGCTGTGCCAGGAGGCGTTCGAGCACAGCTTCGCCGCGGTGTGCGTGAACGGCTGCTGGGCTCAGTTCGCGCTCCAGACCCTCCGCGCCCTCCACGCCCAGTCGCCCGACAAGCAGCCCGTCAAGGTGGCCTGCGTGGTGGGCTTCCCCTTGGGCGCCAGTACCTCCGAGACGAAGGCGTTCGAGACCAAGCAGCTGGTCGAGGTGCGTCTCTGAACCCGTCGGTCGTTTCGAGTGGTCGTTGTCGCTGACTTGTTGTGTGTGTTTGTGTTGTCGTGTGTGTGTCGTGTGTGCCGTGTGTGTGTGTCGTGTGTGTCGTGTGTGTGTTGAATTTGGGCAGCTGGGCGTGGATGAGATCGACATGGTGGTGAATGTGGGCCGGCTCAAGGATCAGGCCTACGGCTACGTGCTGGGCGACATCAAGGCCGTCGTGACGGCCGCCACAAGGTTCGACGCGTGTGCCATGTGCGGCGTGTGCGATTTGTGTCGTGTGTGTGTGCCATGTGCGGCGTGTGCGGTGGCGGCACTGATGACGGGCGCAATGGCAGAGCTGATGGGTCGCAGGCGGTGGTCAAGGTCATCCTGGAGACGGGCGCGCTGACCCGCGAGGAGATCATCGACGGCTGCCTGCTGTCGAGCCTCGCCGGCGCCCACTTCGTGAAGACCTCCACGGGCTTCAACGCGGCTGCTGGCGGCGCCAAGGTGGAGCACGTCGCCCTCATGAAGAAGGCCGTCGGCGATCGACTCCAGGTCAAGGTACGTACTTGCACTGCCCACCCAGCCCAACGCATGCATTGACGAACTGCGCGCGACACAGGCGTCTGGTGGCGTGCGGAGTGCCGCCGACGTGCAGGCGATGGTGGCTGCTGGGGCGTCCCGCATCGGCACCAGCTCAGGAGTGGCCCTCGTGAGCAACGGCCAGGCGCAGGGCTACTAAACTCTCAGCGCGTGCGCGTGCGGTGTTGCGTGTGCGGTGGTGCGTGTGCGTGTGCGGTGTGCGGTGTGCGTGTGCGTGTGCGTGTGCGTGTGCGGTGTGCGGTGTGCGGTGTGCGTGTGCGTGGGAAAGTACCGCGATGTCGACATAAAACGCGTTTACGTGCTTTGGGTTTTGGTTGTTGGTGATTGAAACTCGAGAACAGGAAGCAGCATGGGAAACGACGTAGGCCGCATCAGTGCTAAGGATTTTGAGGGGGTGGAGGACTGTACGCTTCTCCTTCTCTTTTTGCACTTCTTGAGTCAAGATGGAGGAATTGGGGGGGGGGCGCAAATGGCTTACAGCCTCTTCGATTTCACAATGTAGTCACGGAGGCTGAGCTGCACAAGCTTCACCGTCGTTTCCAAAAGCTCGACAAGGACGGCTCTGGGAGCATCTCCGCAGGTAAGTTTCACTTCTCTCTCGCTACACTTCCATCTCCAGAGATTTGAGCTTCGGCCGTTCTGTCATGAATCCTCCTCTCAACGAATGCGCTCCAACAGATGAATTCCTGTCGATCCCTGAGCTGGCTGGCAATCCACTGCTGAGTAGGATCATAGCCATATTCGACACCAACAAGGACGAGGAGATCGAGTTCACTGAGTTCGTCAAGGCCCTCTCCACCTTCACCAACAGGGACAACCTCGAGGGCAAGCTGCGCTGTACGATGTCTCCCACTTCCCTCTCTCCTTCGCCTCTATCGGTCCCGTTGGGCCACTCATCGTACGTGGTTGTGTGCGGCGCAGTCACTTTCCAGGTGTACGACATCGACAACGACGGCTTCATCTCCAACGGCGAGCTGTTCCAGGTGCTCAAGATGATGGTGGGCAGCAACCTCACCGATGCCCAGCTCCAAAACATCGGTACATAGCTCCTGCGCTTCTGTCTTCAACAGCCTCACTCCCGCGAGAGCTTCGTCGTTGGTCGTGTGTAGCTGATGGTGTTGTACAACGTGCTTTCAATCATCGTGCTCAGTGGACAAGACGATCCTGGAGGCCGACGAGGACAAGGACGGCAAGATCTCCTACGAGGAGTTTGTGAAGCTCATCACCAACACCGAGGAGCTCGGCGCCAAGCTCACCATCACCTTGTAGTAAGTTGTATAATTTTCCCTCCTTTCCAGCATCATCAGATCTTCTTCTTCTCCACACCGTCTACTTGATCTTTGTCGTCGTGGTCATTGTCCGTGTAGTCAAATCGTAAGCGTTGTGGTGGTTGTGGGCATCGTTGTTGTTGAAGACTTAGATGGGCTGGCCGTCGGCGTTCTTCCACGGCACGCGCTCGCAGTCGTCCGACTTGTACTTGCATCGCACGAACTTGTCATCGTCGTACGAGCCCGGGCAGTAGAAGCCCTTGCCCTGCTTCTTCAGCCGGCCGCCGAAGCACTACATCGACAAAGAGATGGAAAGTTTAGATTGTGAAGCAAATGTCAATTACAACAAGGCGAGCCGTACCGTGGGGCAGCGAGGAAGACAGCCGTTCTTCACACAGTCACGAATGCGGCTGATCAACTCACCCTTCGAACCTGCAGACGTATGGCCCAAACAATTACACAAAGAAAAAAGAAAATGTCGGCCAAGATGAGGATGTGAAGGTACCGGTGACGACTTGATCGTTGGAACGCAGACGCTCCTTGAGCTCATCGACCTTCATGCCGTTGAGGGCGTCCTCCTGGTCGTCGGCCAGCTTGGCCGCACCGCTCGACTTCTGCTTCTTGGCGGCCGGCTTGCCCTTAGCCTTCTTGCTCGACTTCTTCTTCTCTTCCTCGCTCTCGCTCTCCTCGCTTTCCTCCTCCTCTTCTTCACTCTCACTCTCCTCCTCGCTTTCCTCTTCAGATTCGGATTCGCTCTCATCTCGCTTCCTCTTCTTGCTGGCCGCGGCCTTCTTCTTCTTGGCAGCTTCGGCGGCGGCCTTCTTCTTCCTCTTGGCCGCGGCCGCCAGCTGCGCCTTGCGTCGGCTGCTCACCCCGTAGTCCTCATCGTCATCGTCGCTCGATGCAGGTCGCGCTCGTCGGCTCTTGCCCGCGGCCGGCGAGTAGCGATCGGGTCCCACGCCACGCCTCGATCGCCCGCTTCGTCGGGGCTCGACCGTCGTATCAGCCTTCTTCGCCTTCTTCGACGTCGTAGCGGCCTTCTTGGTCGTCGATTTCTTCGTCTTCGTGTTCGCTACTTCGTCAGTCTCGGCCTCCTCATCCTTGACCTCCTCCTTCTCCTTGGTGGCGTCCACGTCGGCCTCGCTGTCCGTACCCTTCCTCTTCGGCATCCTCCTCGATCGGCGGTGTGGGCTGCAGCAGTGAATGATTGCAATCAGATCGTTCCGTTCCCTTTCCCTGCGGCCGTTGGCTGGGCCGTTGCATTTAATTTATTCATCATTTTCCCGCCCACGGCCTTCACTTCAGGCAGCGAGCACTGTTGATGAAGGTGGTGTGGCCGGTGTGGTGCTATAGACGATGTGTTGATTGTTTGGTTGTTGTATGCACACGTGGCACAGTCATCCGTATGTTCACTCTCTCTTGTCCCCCCGCTCCAGTGCTCACCAGCTCCAGCTCCAGCTCCAGTTTCTTTCCTTTCTCTCGCTAACAGCTGCATCCGCCGCCGTCGTCTTCGTACTTGCGGATCTCCTTCTCGTCCAGGGTGAGGTGCATGCTGTCGGTGTTCTCCGGTTGTGGTCCGTTCTGGTAGTTGTGGATGATGTGGTTGATGAGGAAGGTCATGGCCTTCTCCACGTGCAGGTTCTCCTTGGCCGACGTCGCGAACCACCCGATGAATCCGTTCTCCTTCGCAAACTCCTCCAACGTCTGGCACGACGTAACGCGGTTAGTGCGCGCACAGTGTGGGTGGTGGTGGTGGGTGGTGGTGTGCCGTGGTGGGTGACTTACTCGTTCGTCGGCCTTCTTATCGCCGAGGAGATCCACCTTGTTGGCCAGCAGCACCACCGGCAGGGCGTCGCCGTTCCACAATCGAACTGCGGCGTGACCGCATCATCACAATCGCGTGAGACACGCAACACTGTGTCGCACACGACACGGCACACGACACCACGACACGCGACACACGCGACACGACACACGCGACGCGTAAAGAGAAGAGGAGCGGCGTACTCTTGGAGTCGATGTCGCCCTTCCACTTCTTTACAATGTCCAGCGATTCCTGGAGCGGTCGACCGAGGTCGAGCACCACGAAGCCGCCCACCGCATCACGGTAGTACACGCGCGTCAGGTTGCCGTATCGTTCCTGACCTGCGGGTCGGTCGGTCGGTCGGTCGGTTGTTCATGTTTAGCTGATGGGGCTTGTCCTGGTTTATGGGTGGTGTGGGTGGTATGGGTACCGGCAATGTCCCACAGCTGGAGGTGCACCATGGAGTTGTGGCCCCATTCGAGGCTCTTGAGCGCAAAGTCGACACCTATCGTGCCTGTGGGGGGGGGGTGCCACGTGTAGCGACGGGGTGAGTGGACAACAACCGTGTTCATTCTTAAAATAAAATGAAATACAATCTCATTCACAAATAAATGCAAATTAAAAAGTGCAGGGTCCTTACTCTTGTAATTGTCGGAGAATTCGTTGTCGCAGTAGCGCTTGATGATCGACGTCTTGCCAGTACCTGGAAATCAAACAAACATGTTCATTTGGGAGGGGGCAGAAGAATGAGCGATTTGCTCACAAAAAATCATCACAAATGGGCCGTTGATGGCCTTCAACTGGGGGTCTGGTGGTCGTACCCATGTTACCGACCACGAGGATTTTATAGAGGAATTCTTTTTTCTGAGCCGCAGGCAACTCTTTGGGTGCACCTCCGTTGGTGTTGCTTCGTGCTCGTGGTGTCGTATGTCCTCCGCCCTCCATCTTTCCCTTCTCTCGTGCTTGCCGTCGAGTTGCGTTCGGTGGTGTTGCTCTGATCTCTGCTCGGCGGTGAAACCCGACCACGGCCATTACTCGGCGAGTCGTCGAATTGTCAATGAGTTCTCATCAAAAACTATGAACCACCGCTCGCCGTAAATTTCAGTTTCTTTTTCAGCTGGTTGGCTACAACCGAAGGAGCACTGGCGGTGGGTTGCGCACGAGTCTTGGCGCTGGGCACGTCACCTGGTCCCGATCCTACCCAGTGCCGACGAGGAACACCTTTTGCTTCCGACTTCAATCGGCTTCATCTTGACCACGCAAGGAGCGAAACGTAGAAGAAAGGCACGAGCAGGAGGGCCTTCGTTCAGTCATTGTCGCTGCAAAAGGGCACACAGCCAAAGGTCTGGCCACTGCGCTGAATCGCAGGAATTTTGGAGTAAAATTTCAGACAAAAAGAGGCGTTGTTGGGCGAACAGCATCTTCGCATTCCATTTGCATTTCTCTTTTTCAAGAACCAACCACTCCAACGACACATCCTCGCCTTCATCATCTTCAATCTCGCCCTATCCCTCTTGTGAACAGAAAACCGAAAAAGCGTGCGAGGAGCGATCAACATGGATTTTGCCAAGCTGCTTCGTTTGGGCATGGAGGATGATACAGTCAAAATTAAAAAGGAAGACCTGCAGATGCTGCAGGAGATGTTCAAGGGGAGCGACTTCACCGCCTCGGTTTATGCGACCGTGCTCAAGGAGAACCAGGGGAGCCTCGACTCAGCCGTTGATACCCTCCTCAATTTGGCCAACGACCCTCTTCTCGATGAACGCAAGGAACAACAGGCGCCCCTCACCTCAAAGCCCATCGCCATCGACATGAAGAAAGAGGCTTCGATCGAGGAGCTTCTCGCCGACGAGCAGGTTAAAGGAGATGACCAGCAACCAGAGGTGATGCTGTCACCTCGCCATGCCTTGCCCATGACAGACCACCAGCTGGAGCAGGAAGACGCCAGGCTCCTCGAAGAGATGCGACTACTCGATGAGGAAAAGCGGGTTGGCCCTCAGCTGGGCTCCTCACCAGGCGCTGCCATTTCGCCTCGCCTCCACCTCGTCGCCTCACCTGCCCACCTCTCCGCCTCGCCCATCTCGATCCCACCTGCTCCCATCGTCTCTCCTCCCAAGGAGGTGCTCTCCGTCCTGCAGACTCAGGAGATCATGTCCAACGAGCTCGCACTCGCAGCTGTGGCCCAGCCTTCAAGCGACGCCTCGGCCCAAGCAGGTACGTAGCTGTTCCCAGCCCTCATTCCCCATTCTCCTCGATCTCCGTTCGTGTAGCGCCTCATCATCATCATCATCTTTTTCATCTTGGCTGATCCGCATACTGTGGTACGCGCGTGTGCTCGTTTGTGTGTCATGTGTGCGAAGTAGAAAGGAGCCAGGAGGTGCAGCAGGAGCCCACGACCGCCACGCGTAAGCTGGTGTGCCCGACCTCGGCCCGGCTCGGTGACGTGGTGGGCGTGAGCTGGGACCTCGGCCCCGGATGCGAGCCCTCGAGCGGGGACTGGATCGGTCTCTTCAAGCAGAACCAGCCCTCCAACACCCAATACGTGGTCTACAAGAAGACTGGTACACTCTTACCCTCTCTTTCTCCACGTCTTCATGAAGGCCTGCGTCTGCGAGACCTGTGGTGCTAAATGTCGTGTTATGTCCAGGAGGCGAGAGGCGAGGCATTCTGGACGTGGCCGCTCCTGGGGTTGGCACCTGGGAGTTCCGCTTCTTCCCCAACAACTCCTATGACTACGTCATGAAGAGCAATCTCCTCATCGTTGGTAAGTGCGCACGCACGCACCACTGCACACGCACCACCGCACACGCAGCGTACAGTTGGCTCATGAAGGGTCGGTTCTGGTTCTGTGCAGGCCCGCAGCTCGAGCTGGAGGCCTCGTTGGCCGAGAACGGTGAGACGATCGAGGTGTCGTGCAAGCTGCTCAGCGGCCAGATGAACCCGCGCGACTGGGTCGGCCTGTACAAGGTGGAGACCTACCACAACAAGGAATACCTCGACCTCCGATACGTGGGCCGCGACGCCGGGCCCTGCCTCTCCTTCCCCGCGCCCAAGACCCCCGGCCACTATGAAGTACTGCTGCGCCCCCCCCCCAAGGCAGCGCACACAAACCTCATCTCAGAGAGTTGACTCACGTTATCGCTCCCCCCCTCTTTAGTTGCGCTACTTCCCCACCACGTCTTCGTACAACGACGTCGCGCGCAGCAATTTGATCACCGTCGAAGGTACGCACCCGCCATCGATGACTTGTGTTGACACATCTTCGAGGAGGCGGCGACCGATCGCACCAACGACTTTTCTTTTCTTCCCACCCATCAAGCAGATCGCGATATGGTGATTGCCACCCCGTCGCGCGTGGTGCAGGACAGCGGTGACCAGTTGGTGGCGACGTGGCAGATCTTCTCGGTCCCCACCTCCAAGTGGGATTGGTACGTTCTTGCCCGTCTTCTTCTTTTCCCATCATCATCATCGTCTTCTTCTTGTTGATGTTGTTGATGTTGATGGTGTTGATGGCATGCAGGGTGGGTCTGTATCCGCTGGGCTCGTCGACCTACGTGGAGTACCACTACGTGGACCCGACCGGTGAGCCGAGGTGCACCTTTGCGGTGCCCAAGGAGCCCGGCCAGTACGAGCTCCGCTACTTTGCGTCGGCCACGTCTTCGTTCCTGGGCTCGGCCCAGCAGCAGCGCCGCAGCACCAAGGTCACCGTCCTCCCCGCCACTGCCCAGTCGCGGACCACCTTCTAAGCCTCTCCACCCCGCCCCAATCCCCCGCCTTTCTCGCTGTACATACGCCTGATCACATGCTATGTTCATAGGTTTTTTTGTTTGTATGTCACGTCATTCACAACATGTTTTCAACTGTAAATACATCAAAACATTACACCATCATCTTCGCTCCCGCCAGACCTGTTCAACTGTTTCTGGGGCGGAAGGTGCGGGCGGAGGAAGGCAGTGGTGGGATCGGCCGCGGTGGTGGTCCGAAGGGCGCGGGCGCGGTGGTCCCGAACCCGGTGGCTGGGGCCGCAGGTCGGCCAACGTAGGGCGACTGCGGGGCGTAGGCCACGTGACCACCACCACCACTGCCGCCGTACACAGGGGTGGCCGCGCCATAGCCTTGATGATGATGAGGATGCATCGGCTGTGCCACGGGTGCGGCGTAGGGTGGAGGGGGAGCGGCGTAGAGCGGGGCCGACGCCACCGGTGCGTAGCCACCGTACGAGGTCGTGTAGGGCGAAGAGGCCGTGTAGGGCGAAGAGGCCGTGGAGGCAGGGGCGTAGGCGGGCGAGGCAGCTGGCGATGCGACGTAGGCGGATGCGTAGGGTGAAGGGGCAGTAGCAGCAGCGTAAGGCGGCGGCACCGGTGCCTGGTGGTGGACATAGGCGGGCGGCTGCGCGGCGCGGGCGAGGGAGGGGCACTCCTTGGCCGTGTGTCCGAACCCTTCGCACAGCTGACACCGGAAGAGCGGCGCCGGCGCCGGCGGCGGGTGATGGTAGCCGGCAGCTGTGTTGTGCGGCAGCAGTGGCACCGGCTGGTGGTGTTGGTTGTGATGCGGCGCCCAGGACTGCCCTCCACCGCCGCCATAGTAACCGTCGTCGTCATCGTTTCGTCCTCGCTTTCGGGCGCCTCTGTTGTCCCGCTCGTCTCGGTCGCGGTTGCCGCCGCCGCCGCCGTACGGCTCTCTGCCCATGTGGTGGTGGTGGTTGTCGTGGTGGTTGAACCGATGATTGCTACGGTCGCGGTCCCGCTCCCGCTCCGACCACGACGATGACGAGTGTCGCCGGTTGTTGCTGTGGTGGCTGTGGCCGTCGCTGTTGCCGTGGCGTTGTTGCGCGTGGTTGGCGGCGTTGTTGCTGCTGTTGCTGTTGTGCGGCGCGCCGGCCTCGGGCGGTCGGACGAAGGTCTGGTGTTTGCGGCCGGCCAGGTGCTCGTGCAGCTTCTCGGCGGTGAAGCAGACGACGTCGCACTTTTCGCAGTAGAAGTCGTACCGCGCCTTCTTGCTCGCACGCGTCTCCGCGTGGCCGGCGCCGACCGGCGGCGGCGGCGGCGGCGGCGGCAGCTGCTGCTCCTTCGCCTTCTTCTCGCCCTGCACGTCGGCACTGTGTCAGAACACCGACGCGCGTCGTGTCGTGTGTCGTGTGTCGTGTGTCGTGTGTCGTGTGTCGTGTGTCGTGTGTCGTGTGTCGTGTGTCGTGTGTCGTGTGTCGTGTGTCGTGTGTCGTGTGTCGTGTGTCGTGAAGCCTAACCTGGTAGTCGTGGTAGAGTCCCATCGACGAATTGTCGCTCTTCCGCAGTTCCCTGCGCGAGGCGCACAGCGAGTGATCGCTCGCGAGCTGCACCAGCAGCTGCTGCTCCGCCGACAGCTTCTCCTCCTCCGGCTGCTGCTGCTGCTGCATGAGCTGCTGCTGATCGTACTCCTCCACCACCCCGTACACGTCGTCCACCTGCTGACGCGACACCCCATCGACGTCCACCATCGTCGTCGTCGTCGCCGTCGGCAAAGTCGATATTTCGACCGCCGTCGCCGTCGCCGCCGTGGCAGCCGCAGC